TTTTTAATTTTAATTATCAGGGTAATTAAATGGTTTTTATTGGTTTTAATTTAGTGGTTTTTAATCATTAATCAGATTGAATCATACTAAAAAGTGGGTTTTTAAAGTGAAAAGAGGCTTATCTTTTCATCTGAGGATTTGTTTATTTGCTTATTTATATATTTTTTAATTCACTTTGTTTTGTTTATAGGACTTGTATTTGTATGCAACTTCTCATTTGTTGATACGTAAAAAAATGTGTTTTGTAAATTGCAACTGGAAGATAATACAACTTTGGCAAAATGGAATTAATCCTTTAGAATTCCACGAAGTTTTTTAATCACTAGTCTACTTAACCCTTTTCACGGCTTTCTTCCTCCCCTCTTCTTTCTCTCCTCGTATTGGACATCATTTGAGAGCATACCGCAACACCCTCGATGAGCGCGATTAACATGCCTCCAAAGAGAGATGAGTGTAAAGCGGGGCCGAGGCCTTTGATACATTTGGAAGAATTTGGTGGCCACGACATTAGCGAGGATGGAATTCCAAGGATCATCCTCTTGCCTGACATATACCACCAACAATCAAAATCGGAGAAAAGATCACACCAAATGGCAAGATTGTCGAAAAAATGGAGGATGTTTATACATACTACATGTGAGCCACCGACGAGGCGCTCATTTTTAGGGGAGTTGTAAATGTCTTTCAACAAGTAAAAAGTTGACTTACCCTATTATTCCAAAGTAAAAAAGATTCGCCTGTATAATCCAATAGGGCAATTAGGGGCATGGTTTGCAACAACACTTTGTGTGTAGTCGCCATCGTTATTGATTGAATCAACAGAAAATGAACGAAATTGATTAAGAGTTTGTTTGATAGTATTTCTACTTTTGCTTTTACTTATTATAGATGACTTTCTTGAAAAAGTTACATTAGATCTATTTCTTTTAAAAGTTCTTGTAATTTAAAAAAGTACTTCTTAAAAGTTCCTCAAATATATTCAAACGTAGATTCTTAGGATCCGTTTAATAGGACTTTCGAAAAAGG